CGTGCAGGATTGTAGGTGAGTAGGAAAGCCTCTGCGCATGCACAAAGTGAGCCCGAGCCATGCCCACCGAACTGGTGGTAAACTACTTTGAAACCCACCACTGGCGTCCAGGGATCACGTGAACACTTTTTACAACCTTCCGACAAGCAAAATCAACAGGAAGACCAGATTCATGGCAAAAAGGTAATAAAATGAGGCAAAAATCACTTAACAACATAAATTTTGGGCTCATTTGCAGTCATAAGTTGAGGGCCACTTGTAATCTGTTATGGTGCAAATATCTGAATTGTTCATTCCGTCATCCCCAGAGCTATGATAACAAAGTGTGCTTCCTGCTGGTAATTCCTGGTAATTAATGCTTACTTTCTCTAGCAGTCTTCTCTAAGCTGGTCCATTTTATATTTTGAATTTCCCTTTATAGGCAGCCCAACCAGCATGAGCCTCGGTGGTACAGTACTGCAGTCTACTTCTGCTGACTACTGGCTGCCTGCAATTTGGCAGTTCAAATGTTACCAGGCTCAAGGTTGACTCAGCTTTCCATCCTTCCGAGGTAGGTAAAATGAAGACCCAGATTGTTGGGAGCAATATGCTGACTCTGTAAACCGCTTTGAGAGGTCTATAAAGCATTATAAAGCGGTATATACGTCTAAGTGCTATTGCTATAATGCAACAATACAGGGAGTCAAGTTACAACCATTCACTTACAACAGCATTGAAGAAGGGAGAGGAGAACTTATAATTTTCTATGTAAAATTTTAACTTGTGTCTCCCCATGGTCATGTGATTGCAACCCAGATACTTGGTGCTGGGTTATGATTATGTCAGTGAGATGGCCTCATCATCACTATTTCCAACATTCCTTGCCAGCTTCCTACAAGCAATGCCAGTGGGAAAACTGAAGTTGTTCCAGTTCCTTTTCATCCATCCGTGGCACCCTATCCCTGTGGACCAGTTCGCCTAACAGTGACATCTGTCAGACTGCTTCCTGAGACACCCGCCTCTTCCCACTTAATCATATGATCCTGGGCTTACAAGATTGCTGTCGCTAAGTAATGGGATCATGGGACACACCAGTTAGTGAGACACTCAGGTCCCAATTCATTCATTCATCACATTTCTTTATCACCCCTCTCACTTCAGTTACCCTTTTAATGTGAGGAATGGTTTTTCTCTTTTGTTTGGGGGTGAGTAGGAAGGCGATATGCCAGCAGACCCAAGTTAGGTATTTTCTCATCTAATAGGTTTGGGGGAGCCTTCTGGCTCAAAGCTTGGAGAGTTGCCAATACAGGTAGTTCTTGTTTATAGTACAATTGGGACCTGCAATTTGGTCATTAAATGAAGTGTTGCTAAGTAAAACTGATTTACTTCAGCTTTTCTTTGCTTTATAGAACTGTGAAGATTGTAAATGCAAGGATTGGTTGCAAAATCTCTTTTTAATCTAGGTCATACCTATGAAGTGTTACTAAATGAAGTAATTCACTAAATGAGAACTATCTGCAGTCATAGAACAAAGAATTTTAAAAAGCATTACCTATCCCTTGTTCTCATTGTTTTTGACAGCGAATAAACTATGACTAAACTGAATTGGCATAAGTGAGATATGATCTGTTGGGTTGAAAAACCTAACATCTGTTCACAACAAAAGATACTGTAAGTTAACTGTCTTTCTGCATATTTTTCAATATACAGAGAAAATGCATGGTGATATAGGATGGAAAGCAGCTCACTGTTACATACCTAGTTCTGTTTTAGATGGTTCTCTATTGGCCAAATTAAAGTAGATGTGGAAAACCAACATAACAAACACTGTGGGTGTGTTTTATATAATCATTTTGATTAAAGGGGAAAAAATCAAGTTAAAACTCCTAGATTAACCAGGATTAGAGATCAGAGAAAAGTAAAAATAAAACGAAACTCATTCTGTGAAGCAACAGCATCCTCTAGTGGCATAACAGGTACAGCAGAAGTTTTCCTTTTCAAATCCAAATACAATTCCTGGCTATCTAGAAAAATGATAGTTTTAAGTGTAGCTAGTACTGTAGTTGACCGAAAAACTTCCAGGGTATACCAGGGCTGTAGACGAGATTGGAAAGTTTAAATAGCAAAACCAAAACAGAAGACAGCAACAAGAAGTCACTTATGCTTTGTTGCCAAAAAAACCTAGATGAAATTATTAAGATGGAGCAACACATTAATATTTATAAAATGCTTCTTAAATCTACTCATGTAATTTAATATTAAAGGACAACATCTCATATTGCTTATATAAAGTCAATACCTTAGTAATATTAAATAACTATTACATGGTATTTTAATTTCAGTAATTTATTTTGAAAGAATATGGAAAGTCCAGTTCTATTGAATACGGGGCATTATGACTGCAACTTTCAGAACTGGTCAAAGTACCAATGTGGTTGTAGTCTCACTCACCAGAATGGTGCCAAGATGTATTTGGTTAGTTATGACATGTAAAGTTTATGCAAGTAATATAACACGTTGAGCCAAGTGGCTATTTACTATGTAACATGTTGAGTGGTCTCATTTGGTGATATTTTTCCCTCCCAAAAAACCAAGAGTAAGTAAACCAGTAATTAACTATAACCACAGCCAAAACCAGTTATGCTGCTTACATTCTAAAGGCAGGGGAAAAACTGGGCATTTAAGTACATTTAAGAAAGCATGGGATAAGGTCCTCCTCCTTAAGCTAAGGAAGGACGTTTATGCACTCAAAGACTGGGTCTAGAGGATTTTTCTAGCTTCTAAAGGCCATGTGACTGTATCATAGGAAGGAGTTGACTCCAAAATTTGGTAAATGGCAATTTTCTGAAAGTACAAAATAACTATCTTTGTAGCCTTTTTCTTAAGAAACAATCTTTCTCCCCGCAAGTTTGGCTCTAGGAACTAGGGGGAAGACTGCTTTGGGGGTCACCACAAAAGGGCTGATGGTGCATCATGTGGTATCTAACACTTTTGCTCTAAGCTTTCCTAGCAATTAGCAATATAACCAAACTTCTGGTCTGCAGCAAATTTTCCACCAGTAGTCCTTGACCCATGACTAATTTAATCACCACTTCAAGTTACTACAGAGCTGAAAAAAGTGACGTTTGACCAGTCCCCGCAGTCACCTGATCAAAATTTGAGTGCTTGGTGACTCATGTATTTATGGTTGCAGCATCCTAGGGTCACGTGGTCACCATTTGCTACCTTCCCAGGTGGCTTCCCTTAAAGTAAATGGGGGTAGCCGGATTTGTTTAGCAACCATGTGATTTGCTGAAGAACCATGACACAAAGGGTCAGAAAATCAGGCATGACTCACTTAACAAATGTACTGTTTAGGAGCAGAGGTTCCAGTCCCAATTGTGGTCACATGTCTAGGGCTACCTGTACATTCTGAATCAGGGTGTCTTTGCAGGATTAAGGAACCTACCTACGGTAGTACTATTTTTCTTATGTTGCACATTTTTCTTAGGAAGATGAATGTATCATTAAAAAATCTAAATCATTATAGCTATGAATGGTGAAATTAAGCAACTAAACACAAAAGAAAAAACAAAAATACTAAGCAAAATGGTTAATATCATACACTTTTCAGCAGCAGTCCAGCAAACTTTAAAACTACACAGTATCTTAAATAGAGGACTGTAGAAGGTAGATGCCTATAGTTAGCCAACTTGAGCCTATTCAATTTACAATTGTATATGGTTCTTTTAAGTTCCTCCTTATTCACAAGAAGGGGGCTGAATTTTTCCCCTACTCTTTCCACTCATTATCTCATGGTCCTCAAAAATTCCTTCAACCCCCAGGAATGGATTTTCTAGTGGAGAAGTCAATAACCTATTTTATATAAATAAAATGTTTCAGGATAGCAACAACTTGGGCTAGGAATTGTGTATTTTCTAGAATTGGATGACAATGGACTAAACAAGATTTCCATCTCAACAGATTTAGTTCTACTTTCTTACCTAATGGATGGACAGATTTGTGGCTTGTCAGCTAATAGTTACCGTATATGCCGGCGTATAAGACGACCCCCCAACATTTCCACTCAAAATATAGTTTGTTATATACTCGCCCCCTGTTCTGCACGCCTTCCACTTTTGCACTTTTTTTTTTTTTTTGAGGCACTTTTGTGCACCGTGGAAACGAATCCCGTGAAGCCGAAAGGAGCAGCCAGCCTTCT